CAATCATAGCTGGTTTGCCCGTATTTGGCTGCAGCCTTGTCCAACAAAACTCTGACTTATGACCTGGCTTTCCACAGAAACTACAAGTGTATGAAGAAAATTTGGACGCCCGATTAGGTGGCGAACACGTCCAGCTCCTCCTCTCACGCACAAAATTACCATTGTTAGTATTCCCTTGTCTCGCTCTGTGGAGAGAGGGATTAAAAGTCCTTTGAACCTGTGGGGGGATAACATCATTGTTAGTCCTACCATGTCACAAAACAAATCCATCAGCATGCTTAGCAGCCTCTTCAAAAGTACTAAATTCCCTATCTCACAAGTATACTGCAACCTCTTCGTTGATGGTTCTCAAAAATTCCTCTGTGAGCATTAACTCAATCAGGGAGTCAAACTCACTCACTTCCTTGGAGTGTAACCACTTTGAGAATACCTCTCTTTTACTCCTAGCAAATTCAAGGTGGGTCTGCTCTGCCTTCTTACGGAGGCCACGAAAGCGTTGTCTGTACGCTTCAGGAACAAGGGCACATAAATAACACATAAATAATCATAAGCGTCACTGTCTGTAAGAGACGAAAAAACACACAGAGCCTTACCGGCAAACGCTTGTTGAAGCAAAATGGGCCAAAACTCTATAGGCCACTTTAAAGTGGTAGCAAGTCTCTCGAAAGCAATGAAAAACTCATCAAATGTTTCCTCTGAAAAAGTGGGCATTAGCCTAGCAGCACGTGCTGGATCAAAATGAGAAAAACTAGATCTGGGGGTGAGGCCATCGGTGTTAGAAGGGTTACTCTGACCGAGCTGTATACGCAGTCGCAAGTTTTCTGAATCTGCTTCTTTCGCTTTAGCTTCAGCATCTTTCGCTTTAGCCTCAGCTTCCGCCTGACGTATCCCAACTTCTTTCAATTTGCGACTCGAGAAGGCGTAATTCATCATTCACTGAACGTGACTCAGCTACGTTAACTTCACTAGCTTCACCGTGGTCTTCTCTTAAACCAACATCAACACTATCTCCAAACAGCAGACTTCTTACCGAGTTAAACAACATTACTTTACTGGCGCTGCTAGAAATTACCTCACCATAATATTCGCAAATTAATCTTAACTCAAGTGCATTTAACTTTGAAACTTCCTCAATGGAGGGATTACTTGATGCAAATGCAGCCACATCATCTTGGCTAATGATAACCATGATGGCTAGTTATTAAGAAAAAATAAAATACAAAAAGAATATCACAAGTGTTAAAAGGTCGTTAGTGAATCCTGGCAAGGTCGCCAAAACTGTTAGGCCGTTTCTTAATTTACTTTAATATCCAGGTTCTAGGCGTAACCAAACAAAAAAAGTGAAGTAAATCAAAAGGGGATAAAAATAAATAAAGTAAACCTTTAAGAATTTAATTAAATTAAATATTAATACAATAAAAAGCCTAATAGGCTGTCACAACAAATTGATTCACTATCGAAACTTTTAAGACACAAATGATACTAAATCATCGAAACATCAATAATAATGTTAACACTGCATAAACATATAAAATAATTAACACTGAAATTAACTATCGTGAAACAACATTGAATTACTTAAATGTAACTAAGCAAGCACTGATGGACACATAAGAGACATGAATAGGTACTCACATAGATATACCACATTGGTGGCGACAGGAACAACACAGAAATAAAATAAAGTATAAGTAACAAGTGACGGGTGTCACTCAAAAGAATGTGAACTGAATGACAAGAGGACTGGACTGAACTCCATCTGCTGGTGGGGTACTATACATAAAGTCGGCTCCAGCCAGTGCAACACGCAAGTGAAACATGGGTTGTTGAACGATACAGATGGTCATTAGAGAAACAAAGAATGCTTGTTACAATACTAAATGAATAAATAAGATGGGCTTGAACAAATAATAACAGTTAAAACCTTCACAGCACAGGGTAAGGTGACTAGAATATATAATTGTAAATATGACATCATTACAGGAATAATATGGAACAACATGGAAGCATGTTATAAAAAATAATAGAAAAATACGACACGGTCGTAACACTGTGTTTGTTCCTTTTATATTTCTTACATTTCTTAATGCTATTACATCATTCACTTTTCTTCTCTGTTCATTATACTCGTAAAACTAGTGAGATGGGGAATTTTGAGTTTAGTTTTTTTTAGTTTAACAAATTTATTGACAAAGCTTGGAGTACAGTTTGCCTATTCTAAGTAACTCAGTCAAGTCTTGACACTGAGGGTGGTATCACTTCTCACTGCCACGCAGGACAGAAGTTCATACACAATGAAATACATCATATTCATAAACAGTATATATATATATATATATATATATATATATATATATATATATATATATATATATATATATATATATATATATATATATATATATATATATATATATATATATATATATATATATATATATATATATATATATATATATATATATATATATATATATATATATATATATATCATATGCATTTATGCATCATATTCATTTGCAGTATATATAGGTCAGATTCATGTGAGTGATGTCACTGTTCACTGCCATGCAGGACAGAGGTTCGTACACAAAGAAATGCATCATATTCATTTGCAGTATATATAGGTCAGAGTCATGTGAGTGATGTCACTGTTCGCTGCCATGCAAGACAGTGGTTCATATACATTGAACGTCATATTCTAATTGAAGACTAATCAGTGTGGGCTAGCAAATTTGGGATAAACAGCAAGAATGTCCCCAAGAACCCCCGATTCAATATAGTAATTACAAAGTTCATGATACAATAAGCCAGGTGGCCTGAAGTGTTTGACAGTGTCACATTAATAATATAATGTTCAAGTGTATGCTTTAAAGGTTTATCACAAAGTTTACATGCTGAGTGTTCCGGTATGGGTACAGAGTTACTACCTTGCCAGATATGTCTGTATCCTAGCCGAATTCTGGCCACGACTACGTCACATTGTCTGGTTCTGTCCTTATGCTGGCCATACCGGTACCTCTTGTCACAAAATGTTTCATATTTACTAATGCTACAACTGCCAGGTCTCTCTGCATTTCTCACTTCTTCTAGATCAGAGTTCATGATTCTGACTTCAATGTTTTTAATTACAGCATTGGACAGGCCAAGGTCACGGTCAACATTTTCTTTCTTATATGCCTCATTGGCCAGTCTATCAGCACGGTCATGATACCTAATTCCAACATGGGATTGGATCCACACAAATTCGATACGAAAGTTGTTCTCATTGGCAGTTATCACATTCCTTTTAATATCACATGCAACTTTAGACATAGAGCCTGACGGGCTGGTCATTGATTTCAAAGAACTTTGAGAGTCACAGAATATCACCCCACCTCCATTTTCTTTAAGATAGTCTGTGGCTAAGTAGATTCCAGTTAGTTCAGTTTGTGTTGTGCTGGCCCAGTTGTTCAGCCTTTGATTGTTTGATACTATCATCTCTTTTTCTTTATTTATTACAATTGCACAGCCTGTTCTACCTGCGTTTGTCTGCACAGAACCATCAGTAAAAGCATAACATTCACTTGATTTAATACTCTCTATGTGTCTGTTAATAGTTTCTAGTGTGACACATCTCACCACATCGCTGTTTAACATTTGCTTACTACCAACAGGAGTGTAATTAATAAGAACTGATATATCCAGCCAAGGAGGAATGGCATTAATTGGTTCGTCTGGGGTGATTGGGACATTCAGTTTCAAGAGATCTGCAACACTTTTATGTAGCCACGCCCCAAAGAGACTTTTGTGGAAGGTTAGCGAGATAGTCGGGATTACTTAGATAGAACATCAATTCAGTTTGAGCTGTATTTTGGGAACCATTGTTCTTCAAAACTTTGACATAAAACATGGTATTAAGTAGTTTATTTCCTCTCACTAAGAAGAAATAAATAAAGAAATAAGAAAGGTAAAATGAAGGTATTATTACACTGCGTGTCACAGAGTGTGCAGCAGATTGCAGCTTCTCAAAAATGATATTGGTGAAAATGAGAGGCGTGCTACAGTGAGCCAAGCTGAACTACAGGGTACCTTGCCATCATGTCCATTGAAGGTGATCTAACACGTGTGATTGACTTTGAAGATGTGGTTTCCAAGTTTGCTGCTATAAAAGCTCGAAAGGTCAACTTTTAGTTGAAAATTATCTTTAGTATACTTCATGTAGATACAGTTAAATCTTCCAATGAACAAATTAATGAAAATTAGTCTGTTCCATTTTTATAGTTCGTTACATTATATTAATTTTTATTCAAAGGTTAGTTTTTGTTTCTGATTAAGTATGACTTCTGGTAATAAATATATGCAACTTAAAATTTGAAAAGAAAAATAGCAAGATGTGGTTTTATAATTAATTTTATTTTATTAGTTGAATTTATGATAAAAATATTTCACCAAATAAATTACAATTATTTGAAACGTATAATGTCTTTCTTTTTCCTGATAATGGTAGAGGATAGAGCTAAGGGGAGCCCCTCTCAATAAAGTGACCAGAGCCCTAGACTATCTTGATGTGGCCCTGCGCGAAGCAAATTATGACCATGGCCTACAAATCTTCTTACCAACTTAAGAGTGTACCATAGTATAATTGTACATAAACAAGATCTACACGAAGGTAATAAGATATCACAGGGGGACTTGGGTACTCACAGTGGGAACTAGATTAGTCACGTACATGTGATATATGTGTGGGAAAGGGGGAGGAAGAAGAGGGAAAGAGGGAGATGTGGCTAGAGATGTGAATAGAGAATAGAGGGGATGGATAAATAGAGAGATTTTCGGTGAAATCGCTATACGGTTCCAAACTGGTTCCGCACGAAGGTACACAATAGAGTGGAAGGGGATCTGTGCAGATAGGTGGGAAAGAATAGGAAAGGGGAGATAACGTGTAACGTATGTGGAGGGGTGTAGAGTATAGGGGAGGGAGAGAGGTGTATAGATAACCGGGGAGAAATCAGTATCCCTAGTCACCCGCCTCACTTGGTTTGAAACGGTCATGTCGCCTCCTCACCTTTTACTCCTCTCGGCCAGTTAGTGACTGAGTCCTCTGTTCACTCACTGGTTTTACTGAACATGTCTACTTAGTACTTTACTTATCTGCCTGGTACATCACTTAGCATGTCTACTTAACACCTGACTTTACATGCCTACATGGAACTTGTCTTACCACATCTACTTGTGAGAAAAAATATAAACATCTTCATCATATCTTGTTTACCCCCAGTATGTGTGTGGGGGGTGTCAGTGAGTGCCCAGTTATCGCCAGCTGTGCAGAAACTCGCTGACGACTACTTCAACTGGCGAATGATCAACAAGCCTGAGTTTGCTTCCTTTGTGAGTTTTTTCGTTTTATCTGTGTGGTGCCTCTGAGAGCTTCTTGTTGTTGTGATGATAATTTTTATTGGCGATCTGTTGTAAGCAAATCTTATATGGCTCTACATTGTACTAAAAACATAGAAACAATAATACAGGGTTTTGTATCTAATATATCTAATATACTATAGGACAAGCCGTGTGTCTGTTTGTGTGTGTGTCTGTTCTGGGCAGCCTAAACGGCACAATCGTTTTTCATCAAACTTGGTGGAAAAATCGCAAAAAATTCGGAGAGTGGAACAAACCTGGTCCTATGTCGATGGTTTCTTTAGGAAGGCATTAATTAACAATTTTATTTACAATGGAAAAAGATGTAAGTCTATGGACTTGGGGCACCCTAATTAACCATGCAAGTCTACGGACTTGGCGCACCCTCATTCGCTGTAATAATAAATAATAATAATAATAATAAACGGTTTATTGAAAAAGTTTGCAGCCCGAAGGCTGAAAATGTACATTGGACATAAATGACTTATTAGATACATTGGTGGTTTAATAAAAGCCTTCATTAGAGAAAGGTGAAGGAACATACAGTGAACATACAGATTAATGTTTACACACGTAGATCATGTGAGCTGAGGTGTTGAACAGCAGACAAGTAGTGTAGTAACTCCCTCACAGATGGCGTTATGAGGGGCATCACGTGGAGTACTAGTTCCCTCACAGGTGGTGTTATGAGGGGCTGTACGCTGTCACGAGCGTTCAAACTCTCACAACGGCACGAACGTGCCCGAGATCACTTGTTATTTATACTATAGGAGATAGTATATGAGTCAAGAGCTTTCAAAGATAATAATAATAATAAAAAGAAAAGTATTTGGAGATATAGTAAGCATATTTATGGACAGGCATAACTCACCATCACTTTGCTGGAGTTTTGCGTCATTTTACAGGTTGGCATCCACGACTATGACGACCAGCTGGACGACATGTCTCTAGAAGCCTACCAGGGCCGCTACGACCAGTGCCAGGTGTTCCTCGACCAAGCTGAGGCTCTGGAGAGCAACATCACCGACCATGACGACCTGATCAACATTAGGGCCCTCAAGAACGAGCTGACCACCTACATGGATGGCTTCCCCTACCAAGGGTCAGTTTTATTAATATTACTTGGCGCCTAAGAAAGGTGAAAGCTCATGCTGTCATCATCTAATGTCAGATATTCGCATTTTTTAAGCTTAAAACGATATCAGTATTCTTAGACTACATTTGATGTGATTCATAAGACATACCGGATGAGTGATCTTACGTTTTGTTATTCCTGTATGTGTCCGACAATCAAACAGTGAGATCTTAAATAGTGTACTCCGAATAGGTGAGGCGTAACAGTTAAATCACCTTAAATGGCAATTTGAGAACTACCCGTGCTGTAAATGATATTTAGATACAACCAGTTAATTTAGTTTCTATTTTTGGCGTTAGATAGGATCTTGGGTATATTCCTCATTTGGGAAACTTATGAGTACTTGTTACAATTGAAGATCTATATACACTAAGGCTATTGATTTCCTAAGTATGACAGTATAATATCTTACCAAGGGCGGATCCAGAGGGGTTCTGGGGGTCGTCCGGATCCCCCCCCCCTTTTCATCAGAAAATTCCAATACTTTTTCTCTAATGCAGTATTGTACTCAGGCATTTTTGTATAGTAAAAAGTAATTACTATTGACCTCAGAATATCTCCTCATGTCAAGTGCATAGGGGATCAAACCGTCCTCAAAATGACCATGATATTGGACAGATTTAAAAAAAAAAAAAATCTGAGGGGCTTACAGTGCCCCCCCCCCTTTGATATTCCTGGATGCGTCCCTGCTTACTCTCCTCAGATTCCTGGTGCCACTGTGTTATAGCGAAGGAGTTCACATAGACTTTGAACGCCTGATTTCATGGATGGTGTTTGAGACAAGTCAGGACTATGAGAAACTCTTGTCTCGCTATGAGAAACTGCCCGAACAGTTGATGCAAATTCGAGAACTAATGGAGACAGGCGTCGCCACTGGTATTGTCAATCATGCCATCTCTATGGTGAGTATCCCCTCTCCCACTACCTTGTACTAAGTGTCAAAATAAAAAACGAATGAAAGCATCTCTCATACATTCCCTTAGCTTTATGTTTGGATAATGGCTCTCTGCTGAGCTCCTTCAAACTTAGTGAGAATATCTACTTGTCATATCGTCGGTCGTTCCCGAACTCACACTACATACTCGAGGATCTCTTTGATCCGTTCCTCTTGTAGTACTGCCTGCCAAGTGTTCCTTCGTTTTCTTGAATCTAGTACAAATGTCTTGGACCTTTTACTTAAAATTTCGTACATATTTTTCGTTGACCTATATAAGCAGCATTATTTCTATGACCTAAATAATTTGAAATTTTCATACCTACACCTTTCATATTCATGAGACAACACTGGTGGCACAAATCAATCCAATGACTTCTGAAAGAATGACTTTGTTTTTATGACAACTCCATCACATCTTTGTGTAGTTAATAACGCATCAGTAACCAAGATTTTAGTGTGGCCAGAAAGATCTAGTCGATAACATAACAGTAACTAAGGTGGTGGCATGGCCAGAAAGATGTCGTGGAGGGCTTGGGAAGGTTCGTGGTGGAGGCGGCAGAGGACTCACCGTTATGGACGCGTTTCGCCACCTTTCCTGACAACTTCACTCAGGAAGAGGTCACCAACTTCCAGGAGCGAGCTAAGACCATCATCCTCGACCAGGTGAGATGGATTAAGCTTCTTGTGACTTAAGAATCTCGAAATGATAATAGAGTTTTGTGTTACCTGTCTCGATTTAATATACTGTAGACATATGAGTAACAGGTTAAAATAATAAACAACTGTCATATCGCAGATTTCTTCAGGGTTCCAGCAACTAAGTGACTACGTCAACACCGACTATATTACGCGTCCAGATATAGCAGTCACCAGCTTGCCCGACGGTGAGGCGCGGTACTCCCAGATAATCAAGTACGCTTCTGTGTTAAAAGAGTTTAAGTTTTTGTGCTTTACTTCGGATATGACCATTCTTTTATGGCACACACACACACACACACACACACGCAATAAACACGTCTCTCCTACAGGTTCCACACGTCGACAGACTTGACTCCAGAGGAGATACATCAGATGGGATTGGACGAGGTGACCCGCATCGATGAGGAAATGGCCAAGGTGAGTTTCACGTGCCGGTAATATATTTTGTTGATTTTTTTTTACGGGGATTGGCCCACCCAGGCACAGGTCACTGACCCACACCAGGGCGAAAATGTAGTAATAATAATAATAATGATAATAATAATAATAATAATAATAATAATAATAATAATAATAATAATAATAATAATAATAATAATAATAATAATAATAATAATAATAATAATAATAATAATTATAATAATAATAATAATAATAATAATAATAATAATAATAATAATAATAATAATAATAATTCATAGAAAATAAAATTTATGATAAAACATACAAAATTAAAAATAAAATAATAAAATAATAATAATGACAATAACAATAACAATACGTACTGTAATAATAATAATAATAATAATAATAATAATAATAATAATAATAACAACACTAATAATAATAATAATAATAATAATAATAATAATAATAATAATAATAATAATAATAATAATAATAATAATAATAATAATAATAATAATAATAATAATAATAATAATAAAGAACCATAAAGAAATACAAAAATGAAAAAAAATCAAAAGTGAAAAACAATAATGTATGTTGTGTTGTCAATAGTAAGAGAAACAACTGAGACCCTGCAATTGTGTGTAAATGAGGCAGAAAGTTAAATCAGCAACCTGGAACTTGGTCACAATTTTCGTGATGCCATATGGAAGCAGGGTCTACCATTAGACAACACATAATGCTTCCAATATCTTCTCAGGCGGTAGTACCTCCCTGTTTGGTAGCTGCCTACTACCTATACCTATACCTTTCAAGAGCGGCAAACAGACATAAGTAAGGCTATTAAGTTATTCTTCATACACTACATGACGTTAATTATATCAGAGGGAAAATAATCTTAAACTTGGAAACTCGGTGTGAAAGTTTTAGAAATGTTTGAGATATTGCGTTTATCGATTCACATCTAAAATACGCAGATGATATTTTTTTTCTTGTCCGGGTGATTTTGTGCTTGATACAATCCACATAAAATACTATCTAGTCTTGAAACATGAGTCAAAAGTATCTCCTAGTACACTTAGTACTATATATCAAAACATATAATGCCCAAGTATTAACCAGTGATAACATACTGATTTTAGAACTTGTGTGTATGTGTGTGTGTGTGTGTGTCTGTGTGTGTTTAGTAACCACTAGAGCTGGAAATTTTACATTGTATATAATTTGTATACCTTGTGATATATGAGGATTGATCCCACTATAATTTGCTTTATAAATAAAACAATAGTATGAATCCTGCATATTTATCTGTAACCACCTAAGGTAAAAGGACTCCTTTTCACCTGACAGATTGTCTCAGAATTAGGCTTCAACATGTCGGTGGCAGAGTTCTCAGACATGATAAGGAACGACCCCCAATTTTACTACGACGACCCCGACGAACTGATGGAGGGCTTTGAGGACCTTGAGTACAATGTTATCCCGCCTAAGCTTCCTGAAATCTTCATGAACATTCCAAAGGCGAAGTTGACGTAAGAGAGAGGGAAAAATTTTCAATTTCACGGTATTAAGGACTCGGATTACCGCAAAAAAAATGAGAAATAACAATAGCACTTTCTATAATCAATTACTCACATTACATTATTCTGATGAAAACAATATCTTCCGGTGAGAGTGAACATTCACTCACATAATACACTGTGTAGGGTTGTGGCTGACCCCTCACCTGATGGTGCCGGAGCATACTACCTGGCAGGGTCATATGACGGGTCCCGCCCTGGTATCTTCTACGTCAACACCTACCATTACGACGCTCAGTGAGTAACTCTGACAAACAATTCATCAATAAGCTTCTTCATGTTTTATTTTCTTCTTCCTCCTCCTCCTCCTCCTCCTCCTCCTTCTACTATTCCTCCTTCTGTTTACTGCATAGCCATCGTCATTGCCCTTCTTCGCAGTCTTCCTTCTTTAAGTCCCCCCTAATTACAGTAGTGATGTTAAATGACATAAATATCACAACAGGTCCAAGAAACTGGCTTAAAAAATTATTAACTTTAGTTACATCACAATGAATCGGACTATATTATGTGAATAAAAATATAACTTTGTTCAACTTATTTATTATTATTCAACACAATCAACCAACATAAGAGACAATAAATTGTAAAAAAAAAATTACGGGATGTTACAAATATTTCATTACAAATTCCAGTAATTTCTCTTGTTCGAAGGAAAAATTTTCCTTTTTATCATTTTCGCCACTTATCAGCTTACTCGCCATTTGGGTGCTCTTTCCAGTGTTAGTACAGGAGGGAAACCGGGAATCGAGAAACCTGTGATGTTTGGTAGGGTCACACTGAATAACACCCTGCTCTCGTGTGTCAGGGCCGAGGCTCGAAACCTTGACATATTGGTGAGAGTTACATGCATTACTGCTGTACCACCAACATCCCGGGAAATTTTCTTGAATAATGTTTTTAAGAATATTAACGAAAGCATCGTTCAAGTAGATACATCTGCTCGCCTCCTATTCCAGGGGCCAGTAGTTTGATCCCAGGCACTCCCAGTTCACCCAGTGAATGCGATCGAGTGCAGTACCGGCCATGCTGCCTCCTTGTGTATCGAAGGTTTAGTATAACCTAACGGGTAGTTATGCCTATGGGACCCACTTACTTTCACCAAAGACAAAAAATATTTCTTTTAATTTTCAGACCAAAATACGAGATGATGACCTTGTCCTTGCATGAGGGCAACCCAGGTCATCACCTGCAGACGTCACACAGCATCGAAGCCCCCAATATCCCTTACTTCAGGAGGGTAATGGAAGACCGTAATTACTGGCAGACGCCCTCTAGGTTCCCCATGTACACTGCCTACGTAGAGGGCTGGGCCCTCTACTCCGAAAACCTGGGCTTTGATATGGACTTGTACGAGGATCTTTACGTTAGGTAGGTGTAACACATAAGCCCAAAGGGGCCATGAGTCTAGTAAAAGGTAACACAAGTCAAAGATAATTTTCTGCGAGGTACATGACGAAACTGAAAAGTCATGATGGCCTGACAGTTTTCCTCCTACATGTTTCACCCCAGTCTGTGCCATATAAATAAGGCATATTTCAGATTTCCAAAACATCAATAATTAATAGAAACAACGTTATTTTGGTGAAAATATAATAGTTCATTACTTGTAAAAACAGCAGAAAAAATACATGAAATTTTACTACTCTCTGCTATATGAAATGAGGATAAATTAGGTGGAGGAAATAAAGAGTATACTAAGACAATGCCACTCACTATAGCATGTTATCCTTGGGATGGCAGGTATGGCCACTACTCGGATGAAATCTTTCGTGCGGGTCGCCTAGTGGTAGATACAGGTATGCACGCCCTTGGTTGGACCCGTCAAGAGGCTATCGACTTCTTGTTCCTCCATACAGCCTTGACTCGTATTGATGTGGAGGTAAGTAGTTGATGAATGGAAAAAATGATTTATATTTTTTCACCCAGTAAATGTGATGGATAAAGGAAGATATACTGTACATGGGGATATGATCTGGCACCATGACCTACAGTGTATCTAAGTCATCCCAGGGAGTTGGTTATGTGGGTCTGGCACTACATACCACAGGAAAATAATAATTATGAGAACATCTTCTCCTTTGGTCCATTTATATGTAAGCCATTTGGATTTTAATAGCAGGAAGGTGAGGATGTCAAGTACGAGGGGTGATCAAAAGGTTCGTTGAATGGTACCGCTATCAAGGAATGAGTGAATGGTGGTTAGGCCTGTGGGTGGGGCTTACATCATCCACCGTCCTAGTTGCCACCAAACTATGACACTTAGAAACCACAGCCTAGAGCTCAGGTGAAAGACACCATCGTCAGCGAGATCCAAAAAGCATGTCAGTCTAGATCACAAGTGATGGTCATGCTGATTGTTTTTTGTTTGTTTTTAACATGGAAGGAATGGTGCACACAGAATTTCTCCCCAGAGGTGCTACTGTTAATGCAGCTTTCTACCAAGATGTTTTGAAATGTTTGCATGAGGCAGTCTGACAGAAAAGACCTGAGGAGTGGAACAGAGGGTAACACTCTCAACCCAGAAATTTTTGGCAGTTAAAGGCATTCCTCTCATATCCTACATCTGTCTTATTTGCCTGATTTGGCACCTTGTGACTTCTGGCTGTCACCCAAACTGAAACGCACAATGAAATGGAATCATTACGACATGATCGAAGACATTCAATCCAAGATGACAGCCCTTCTGAAGGAGATCAACAAGGAGGACTTCCAGCAATGTTTCCAGCAGTGGCAGTAAAGGTGAAACGAGTGTGTATATGTGCCGAAGAGAAGAACTTTGATGGGGATGAATAAAATACATATCTAATGTTCAATAAAATGGCATTATTCTAACATTCACTGAACTTTTTGATCACCTTATATTCCTCAATAGGGATTCGAACCCAGGAAAATTGGACCTCTAGCCCAGTATGATAACTAAACTACCAGCGAGTACATCTCTCTTCATATACAAAGAAGAAGCAAGGAGAATTACTATATTAATTTTGAACATTTTATTCCATAAAAAGAGGCAAAAATATTTTGTTTCAGACTAAATATCTATGAAACTTTGGTTGATTAATTACAGAGACTGTAAAAATAAAATACCCTCCTGAAAAACCTAATCACACAGAATTTCTTTTATAACAAAAATAGTATATAACGCAAAGACTTGCCAAATTCTTTATGCCCATAATAATAAGGTTATGATGTTGCAGAATGAGGTGGACCGGTACATCACTTGGCCAGGGCAGGCGTTGGCCTACAAGGTTGGGCAACTCAAGCTGACAGAGTTGAGGCAGAAGGCCGCCAATAAACTTGGTGACAAGTTTGTCATTAAAAAGTTCCATGACGTTGTGCTGGACTCTGTGGGACCTCTGGACCTGGTGGAGGACGAGGTGAATGCCTGGATTGATGCTGGTGGAAAGTGACCAAAGAGACCAACAATTTCCAGAAATGCTTGATGTGGCAAGTGTAATAAAGTGTGAAAAGTTATCATCCTGTTTAACATCCTCATGCTGAAGTAAATAATAGATGATCACTTCACTGTGAAATATTTTCTGATCACGAAATAAATGTAAATACATCGTATATAAATTAACATGATAATTTTAAAATCATGTGTGTGAAGCAATTGCAAAAGATGTTTCTGGGTAAGGTGTGGACATTCGACAAGTCATTTGTATATGAACTGGAGGCTTTCACATTTACGGATACCCAAGGTGAGAACATTGATTAAATGTTGTAAATCTAGCTTTAATGAATGTGCACTGCATTAAAAAAAATTATATATTAATTCCAATTATTCATACAAACAGAATCATAGCTGCTTGTTTCTTAAAGAATAGAAAATTACCAATACCCAATTAAATATTATATGTAAGTGATATTATTTTAGTTACATTCAGCAGTGACCAGCCAGATTAACTGTAGCATTTCTGTTAATACTCTAGAATCAAGGCGGTGGACAAGGTGTGGGAACTGACGCTATGCTGGATGGTGGGAACTGATGCTACACAAGATGGTAGGAACTGATGTTATACAGGATGGTGGGAGAAAAAACTGACAAGACCTTGAAAACATCTTAGGTGGATTTTAGAATACTACCTGAAGTTATTAACTCCCCATATCAAACGGGTCAACTACCACGTGGCACAGTGGAAGCTTGCACACGTGACTGACCCCAATCTTCTTCCTGTCCAGGAACACAACTGGAAAGAAGACACAGACACTCATCTTCTTGTACAACCTGCGAATAGCACCGCGTTAGACTTGGAAATTATTACCTGGTGTAAATCTTGAAGAAAATTCCGGTGTATATTTTGGAACCACCATTCTGTTGCAGCTCTATAGTGGTTTAACGAGGCCTCCAGTCGCCATTTTGAAAATAGGCCAAAAGAGTGAAAATGCTCAATGTGTATCAATGTTAATCACCGAAAACGTTTTCGGGAGACATTAGAGCTTCTAAAACGATTGGTCTCACCAAGTCATCGGGGGGGGGGGGGACGCTACTTCACTATCTTATCGAGATACTGTTCTAGTAAGCCTTGGTTACACTTCTACAACGGCCCAATAATGTACAAAGTTTTTGTTTTTCATAATTATGAATTTAAAAGATATTGTGTGAGAAGACAACCAGAGACTTAGTAAAGGGTACTTTTAAAGACATCAACCTTTGAAGCTCTTACTACGTTAAAACAACACCAACAACTAGACATACACAGGCTCTTACACTATGTGTACAGTACTTACCAACAAAAAGATAGACATCTGGAGAGTCTCTCACAGATTCGATAAAAACCCATGTCGTCACCCCCCCCCCCTCCTGTGTGAACTGGTCCAGCAGACAATAAATGTGTATCAGTAAGGTTTTTATAGTCTCGAGAACACCACCAAGGTTGAGGAAGATAAGCAGGTGTTAGTGTGGAACTGAGCATTACCTGCAGCCTTGTCTGATGGACACTTGTTGATTACTCCGACAGTCACATGCTGATTATTTTGACAGTTCCCTGCTGGTTTCTTTGATGATCACCTGATGATATATCTGACAGTCATCTCCTAATTACTCTGACAGCCGCCTCCTGATTACTCTGACAGCCAGCTGTTGATTCCTATGGTGGTCACCTGCTGAGGAAGGGCGGGAGGAGTACAGTAGTTAACATGAAAAACAAGCACAAACAGTAAGATTATCATTCAGGTTAATAATTAATGGATAAGCATAAATCTAAACTATACAGTTATACAGTTCAGCATGAATATAGACAATATAGGTGTACGGTGGACGTAGGCCGTGGGAGTAAGTCAAGTTGACCAAGGATAGCCGACAAAGCTGTCAGCTGCTTATATCCAGGAGGATCCTTCTCTTATTTAATATAACACCAACTACAAAAATAAAGGAGAAATTTAATTCGTGGAGACAATGACACATAAAATGTGTGGGAATCATTTACAAACCCCCAGCGTTGGTAAAAGTGAAGGAGCCGACATGTGAAGTGGTTAGTGATATGAGATTGTCAGTTACCCCACCGTCTTCAACAACAGTTCACGTCGACCACCCATCCTCCTCCTCCTCCTCCTCATGGGTGAGCGTTATCCTAGTTACTACCATAAAGTATATGAACTTGTTTATGGAGATTAATATATAGTGATGGCGAAGACGTATTAATTGATGTCGTTTTGCAAACAATTAAAATCCTTATCTTTCTAGTTATATACGATGGTTTTCTGAAGTCACACTTGTGTTTCACACACCTGAAATTATCGTACATCTGAAACTAAACACAAATAGCTGACAGAAAACACATTGAAATATACATGAATCTGGAAATAACAAAACTGTATTAAATTACCTGAATAGAGATACCTAATATTACATGTACAGTATGAACCAGAAAAAATAAAAAAGTGCGACACAGCCTTCTTAGGGGTTAATTGAAATAGGTTCTAACCCAAGGAGGTTTTATAAGAGCAGACGACATCAATCACCGACATTGATGCCACTCATCGCATACAGTGACCATCTTGGTATTGACAAAACATCCTGGGTGATGGTTGACAAGGCTGGTTTTCTGGGTTATATTCTGTGCATTCAGATGGTGCTGAGTCAGTATGTTCAATTAGTTACATACCATGATCCTCATTTACCTTTTTTTAGTTGACTGGCATTTTTGTTTCGTGGGGGGGGGGGGCAAAGCGAGAAGCATGGAATATCGTAATACCAATCCAACGTGTAGACAATGAATTTTCTTCTGCCTGTAAGAATTTTTTGGTGCATATTGACATACAGGACGTACTCCCTGGTAACTGTCTGCCATATAGTCCCTTCAAATTAGGATTTGTGGCGGAAAAAAAAATAAATTTGGCACACACACTCACACTCCTGAAGGCTATACGTATAAAGATCAAAAGAGTTCATATCCTGTCTGAGTGCCGCATTCCCCCTCTCCCCCTAGGGGTGACCTGGAACTGCTTCCTTTGCAATTATGTGATAAATGGTGCATTTTATATATATATATATATATATATATATATATATATATATATATATATATATATATATATATATATATATATATATATATATATATACCAAAACCAAGAACAAGTTTCTCATTTGTCTGTAGATCATAAGATGATAAGTTTATGAACAAATTTGGATCACTCAATATGGTCCAGTAACTCGTCAAACAGAGCATTTAATTTGGCATTTAACCTTCCTTTTTGGGCTTAGTTTTGGTGGGAAGTTTTCTATCACTCAACGGTGCGTTAATCTGCTTACTATTGCTAAAGGTATAATCAACCTGGAAAAGAATAAGTCGTCAGATGTTACAAATGAAGATATTTCCATAGCTAAAGGTTATATACATAATGTTTTACATAAGAAATTTGTTTCAAACATTCCAAAAAGATTTGAAGCGGCCTTGATAAACTTAAAAAGAAATAAGAATATCCATATTACCAAGGCTGATAAGTCTAATGCTATTGTAATTTTGGATAAAAGTGACTACAATGATAAGATGAATTCATTACTTAGTGATGAAAGCACGTATTGTGAGCTTACGAAAGATCCCCTGGAAAATATTAATAAGTTATTTAATTCCAAAATGAAGATGTTATTGAAAAAGAACCCCGATGTCACCAAACAGCTCTCTCAAATCAATCCCACTTTACCTTATATGTATGGATTGATCAAAACACACAAGCTTAACAATCCATTACGTCCTATCGTGAGTTCTGTGGGTTCTGTTACTTACAAATTATCCAAGTGGCTGGTAAAGATGCTTTCCTCTCTTACAGGCCAAATATCTAATTCACATATACACAATAGCAGTGATTTAATTGATAAACTCAAGAAACACAATGAACCTTGCGAATTAATAAGTTTTGATGTAAATTCACTGTTCACTAGAGTACCTGTGAAAGACTTACTTTCATTTCTTAAAGATAAATTACAACTGTTAGATTTAACTATTGAACATGATACTTTCCTCAAATTGATAGTTATGCGTAACTGACAATATGTTTAGAGCAAATGGGAAGTTCTACAAGCAAATATTTGGCATGAGCATGGGTAATTGTCTTTCTGCTCCTCTAGCCTGTATTTATATGGAGTTTTTTGAATCTAGATTACTACCCAATATAGTGGACTTTATTCCTCCATGGTATAGATATGTAAATGATGTTCTTTGTCTTTGGCCTAGAAACAGTGACCCATTGGAATTTTTAGACAAGCTTAATGATATTGTCCCAAGTATCACATTCAAAATTGAAAGAGAAATAAATGGATCCCTTCCATTCCTTGATATGCTTATCATGAGAAATGGCCAAAACTACAAATTTAAGGTATACAGAAAGCCCACACAGGTAGACAGTTTCATACACTTTTTATCGAATCACCTGGAGTCTACCAAAATGTCAGTTTTTTCTGCTATGTTCTTAAGATGTCTGCGTATTTGTGACTCTGAATTTATTGACGATGAATTGAAACACATTCGTTCCATTGCACAGAAACTCGGGTACCCTTCTGTGTTTGTTGATCGTTGTTTTAAAAGGGCTAAAAAATCCTTTCATTCCTCTCAAACCAGGCAAATTCCTACACTTAAGAATATTTTGACTGCCCTATCGTAATGAATTTGCCCCGTTAGTTCGGTCCCTCAAGCTACTAAATATTAATGTTGTTTTCAAGTATGACTCAACCATTACCAATATGTTAATAAGAAATAGCCCAAGTTTGAATGTAAATGGAAGTGTTTATTGTATTCCATGTAGCAAATGTAATTGTAATTATGTAGGACAGACAGGAAAAACACTGCAGCTCAGAATCAAACAACATAAGTACAGCATCTGAAAGCAGTGCCTTGTTCGTTCATGTTAGGAATAATAATCATCCCATTGCTTGGGAAAAAAGCTTAGAAGTATTTAAATCATCTTGTGTCACAGAAAGACTTCTGGTTGAAGCTAGTTTGATTAAGGAATTAAAATCAATAAACCTTAGT